TGGACACAGTGTGAGATGAGCTCATTAAGGGACCATGAGTCCTTTTGATAGTTGTAGCTCATCTTGAATTGACTGAAATGTGCCGGAAGGGATATCAGAACCAAGTGCACTAACAAGTCTTCAGATAAATCTAACTTGAGTGCCTTTAGTTTTGAAGCAATGTGAGACATTTCCATAATGTACTCCCGAATGTTTCCTTTTCCTTTATACCTCATTGAGACAAAATTTGCCAAAAGTGTACTTGCTTCAGCCTTTTCATTCTTGGCAAACCTCTTCTCAAGGTCCTCAAGGAAACCCTTATCCGTAGTCACCTTATCAGACATAGTGCCCTGAAATATTTCTGGAATAGCACGCTTCATGACCATTAAGCTTATGCGGTTCGATCGTTCCCACTTTTCCATCTCCCTCTTGTCATTAGAGGTACTCTTATCAGTAAGTGCAGCAAATTGATCGACCCGTAAAGCAAGGTCTAGGTCCATGACTCCGAGAACAATCATAACGTTCTCTTGCCATGCCCTGAAGTTTGTGCCATTTAACATTGGAATTGAATTGATGCTAGTAGAGATATTAGCAGCAGAACCTGAAACTGAGTTAGAGAGCATTTATTATGAATAGCTCACATGAATATCTTTAATATGCAAATAATAATAATCTCAAATAGTGGTAGAGCCCATCATAAGATACCAAGCACAACATCAATATCCAGTCTTTGGACAGAGATATTGACTTGTAAGCGGTACTCTTGGTGTAGTAATCAAACATTGACGATAAAACAACTTGTCAATCAATAAACCTTTCTTTGGACCGATTTATTGATTACACATTAAACTAAATAATCGTCACACGTTTATCACCACAGATGCACGTGTATTGGGCTAAATATTGACCTTCCTTTGGGCCGATCAATATTCCCATGAATAACACATGCACAAACACTTTTTAACATTCTAAGTTAGTCAATTTTCACAAGAGAGGTTGCTTTGGTAACACGTTGCTTCAATTAACTAACTTTCGAATATTATATCTCTTAAAAGAGTCTTTAGTACCAAAATTTGAGAAGGAGAATCACCAATTTTGCATATTTTGATTAGTTTTAAACTTTAGGGGCCTTAGGATTAATAATTTAAAACTTTAAGGGGGGCAAAATTATATAATTCTAAACTTTAGGGGTTGAAATTAATAAACTTGAAACTTTAGGGACCAAAATTAATTAATTCAATACTTTAGAGGATCAATTAGAACAAATTTTAAAACTTTAGGGGCCAAATTGACCAATTCAAAACTTTAGGGATCAATTTGAATTAATTATGAACTTAGGGGGCCAATTTGAACTAGTAATTAAAGTTTGAGGGTTTTAATTATAAATTCAGAATTTTAATGGCCCGAATTAATTAATTTTAAAACCTTAGGGATGAATTATTAAATCCGAAACTTAAAGACCCAAATCTCAATATAACTTAAATGTTAGGAACTGAAACCTTAATTTTATAACTCTAACCCTAATTGCAACCCGGGGCCTTAACTTATCTAATTTACAGAAGAGGCCCCGGCCCCCCAAAATTTTTTTTTTCTTCCATGAGCCGGCGTTGCTGCACACTGTTGGCAGCAGCGCTTGCTGCGCGCTGCTGCCTGCGCAGACAGCGGCGCCACTACCGCTGCCGGAACATATAAATTTTTTTTTTTAATCTGAATCTCAAAAAATCCGAATTCCAAATCTGAATTTTCTCAACCAATTAATCTGAACGAAAATAACAAAAATTATACCACAAAAAATTTCAAATTTAACAAAATATATAACCAAAAAATTGTTAAATCTGAAAATTTCAAAAAATATTGCAAGAACCAAACTAAATTTTTTTTGATTCTCAATGATTCAACATGAAGAGGCTCTGATACCACTTGTTGGATAATTTAGTTCTTTAAATTACCGGATCTTTCATGTTAAATCATCAAGAAATACAAGAATTAAAGCGGAAGCATACCTGAATCTGACATGATTAATGCAATATGAATTTCGCGATATGATCTTCCAAATCTACACGCAGTTTCCTTTTCCTCTCTGTGATGGGATGCAGTAGAGAATGAATAATACGTTGCGTGTGATCTGGGGACCATAACCTATTTATATAGGGATGCACTTTGACCTAATTTGGCTCATCATAGAATTAGGATTTAGGTCCGATCTCTACACATATGTAAACCCATACTTTAACTGGATACATTAAAGCCCAAAACCGAATCCTTATTAGATCACTTTAATTGGGCTCAACCGAATTCGACAGCCTATAATTTAACACACAATTATTCACACATACAAGCCCATCTTTAATTAAAAAATCCTTACAGGGCAAATAAAGGAGACCAATTATTTAGAACTTTTGTACGTAAGAGTTTTGTGTAATGAAAGAATCCACCCAATAACAGTTTGATAAGCGTGCTTTCGCTAAAAGAGTTAATCCCATTTCTTGGATATGTCGATATTTTTCTCTCAACAATACCATTTTGTTGAGAAGTATACGGGCATGTTAAACGATGATGGATCCTGTTAGTTGATAAAAAAAGTTTTAAATTCATTTGAGAGATATTCATCTCTATTATCAATTTGTAATTGTTGTATTTTGCAAGAAAAAAGATTCTAGACAAGAGCTTTAAATTTCTGAAAAATAGCAGATACATCGGATTTATAACTAATGGTTTACATCTAGAGACGGCAATTTTGTTCGCTAGCTTGGGCCGCACATGGTTCGACCCCAAAAAAGTTCAAGCTGACCAGGCTCGAGGCTCGGTAGAATTGAGCCCAAGCTCGAGCCTGTCGTATGACTCGTCAGGGCTGCAAAAAAAAAAGGAAGAAGAAAGAAAGATGGTAGAGAAGAAGGCAATTGTGTAGCTGCCTTTAAAATGGGCAATAGTGTATTTAAAGGCAATGCATGGCTACCTATCTTATAAAAAAAATAAAAACAAAATTTTGAGCCGGCTCGACTCGGTAAGGCCCGAGTCGAAAGCTCGGTTCGAGCTTCTAATTTTTTGGTAGAACTTTTGCTCAGCTTGGCTCGGGCAAAAAAAGCCCAACTTAATTTTACTTGAGCCGAGCCCTAGTTTCGGTTCACGAATTGGCTCGACTTGACTCATTGACATCTTTAGATACATCCATGTAAAGCGACTAAAGTCATCAACAAATAACATAATAGCGATAGCCACCAATAGATGTTATTGGGGAGATCCAAACATCAGAATGTATAAAGTGCTAGGAGCCTAGTTGTTCGTCTTGTAGAGTCTATACACGGTAGGTTTTTAGCTTTTCCTAATTGACATGACTTACGGAAGATTACTTCACTGGAAAAATCCTTAACAGGAAGATAATGAATTAGACGAGTTAAAGTGGAGATCGAAGGATGACCTAGCCTATCATGCCAAGTGGCCATCGAGGTCTTCATTCCTAATTTTGCTACAAGGCAGCATAGCTTATTTGAAGTGCTCTTGTTGCTAGAAATTGGGTAGAGACCATCTTCAACCAACCCTTGAAGCAGGAGTCATCCTGTGTTGTTCTCCTTTACACAAATATCAACACCAGTTAATACAAAGTAGCAATCATTGTCAAGGCAAAATCTATCAATGGATAATAATTTGGTAGATGCATTTGGACAATGAAGAACATGGTTAAAAAAATTGATTAATAATATTTATTTCACAATTATAGGATTACGATAGGATTAAACTTCTAGTTACTCTAAGTATAGCAATTATATATTCTTACAAATATAATTTACGATTAAAAAACACCAAATCGCGAGTGACTCGCCCCACCAAAGAGTGATTTGGTTTGGAGAGCTGAGATGAAATTTTGTGACAAGAGCCAGCACATGCTCGACTTTGATTCGCGAGCACAAGTTGACTTGCTATGTATATCGAGGCCAATTTGAGCATGAAGGTTCAACTCGAGTGACCCATTTAAACCTTTAATAAAATCTCAAAAGAATACTTCAATTAGTTGTCTTATACGAAATGCCGACAATGATACCTTAATATATTGATTGCCAATTTCTCACCAGCTGACCGGACATCTTTGTTGACCAAAATCCTCACCAAATTCCTAGCACAAAACGGAACATTTGACCAACAGCAACTAGCCTAATGTGGTCGGGGTGGAATTTTGACCCTCGTTTGAGCGTGACTATCTTGAATATAACCCACAAAAATGCAATTTTGCTTTTTGAATGAATTTCTTTTTTTTCCTTTTAATTTTAAATTATTTTCGTGTTGTCTATATTTTATTCAATTCAAAATGAAGGTACAATCATCTTTCTAATCGAAACTCACGTTTTATAGTTTAAATAGACACAAATTACCTATCCGACATCCACTTGGACAAAGCTTAAAAATTAAAATCCTAAATTAGGCTTTATTTGACAAGTATTATATTTTTGCTTTTACTTCCTGTAGAAGAGATTTCTGAGAAAGCTAGTTTAGATCGATTTTCTCTAGAAACACATTTAAATAGAAAAAGTAATTTTAAAAAATTATTCAAATACGTATAAAAATAATTTCTTAATTTCTAGGATTTTTTTTTTAACTTTTCGAGAGCCCACCGAACGAGTCCTTAAGAGCCTGTTTGGCCCGATTTTTTCACCAAAAAAATTGATTTTTTGATCGTTATTTCATTATTCCAGCCGTCATATTTGACTTCTTCTCTCACAAGTGGACCCCACTTTTCTTCTAATGATCAAAAAATCAATTCTCAAAATTACTCACAAACAGGCTCTAAAGATTGAACTCGCTTGGCCATTGAAAATTCGTTGATCATTGTATTTTCAAAAGGAAGTGACTTCTCCCAGCCGTTGATATGATTCATCAAACACGAAAACTAAAATATTAAAAAACCAGGACCCACAGTACCGACGCGTATCTACTGGACCCACTTGTAAACGTTTCTCTTAACGACGGTCTTTAACGCCGTTAAAAACAACGTCGCATGTTAAATCCACCCTAGATACATCCGGATTAGGCCATTTCAATCTGTCACATAATCTCTCTCTCTGTCAAACCTGGTTTCTCCGACCAGGTATCCTACCCCTATTTCTCTCAAAAAACTCTGTAATTGAATTTAAGGAGAGAATTAATTCGGAGAGATTGCGAAAATGAACGGTGGAGATTCGAATCAACAACAGCAACAGCAACAACAGCAGCAACAGCACCAGCAGTGGATTGCGATGCAGCAGTATCAACAGCAATGGATGGCCATGCACTACCCGGCAATGGCGATGCCGCAGCAGATGATTTATAACCAGCATTACATGCCGTATTACCACCAACAGCAGCAGTATCAGCAGCACCTTCAGCAGAAGCAGCAGATTCAGATCTCTTCTGAAGATAACAAAACGATCTGGATTGGAGATCTCCAGCAATGGATGGATGAAACTTATCTCCAGTCTTGCTTCTCTGAAACCGGCGAGGTAATTTTTTTTAGTATGCTTGCACCTTTAATTAATTAATTATTTTTTCTATTAGTGGTTTGATTACGTTGCCGTTGAATTCTTTTGATGTGTTTGCTAAATGGATTTGAAATTGCTAGATTGAAGTGAATCCTTTGATATATGCTTGAAAACTTTGTTAGAGAATTCAGATCTCATTTAATACGGACACAGAAACCGAGTTGGGACAGATATCCGTATATGGAAATATATTTATGTGTATTACACTATTACTAGGGAAAAAGTAACTTTTGAGGGAAGAAAATGTTGGAAGAAGTTTTGAGTATGGGCACGTCATTCATTTCCTTTATTTGGTATGTAAATGAAGTAAGCTAAGGATCCCACTAACTTGCATTTTCCTTCAAATTCTTGAACTTAACGATAGCATTTATATCTCTAGTATGATTATGCTAATGAGTATGAGTCTTTCGAAAATATTCTTGATCCAAGATTATTACAACTGTGCTACAATCTTTTAAAAAGTTTTGGTGTTTTTCAAGTTCTCAAATTTTTGAAAAATAAATCTAAATTACTTTATTCACATGGTTAATAAAGGAAAAATGATTTTGGTAGGGAAATAACATTACAAGTTTGGATATATGGGCGTGAAACAAAAAACCTAATTGAATGCTTACTTGTATATTGGTTTATTACACGTAACATGGTAGCAGTTGCTGAATTTGATCAAAGTTCTTGTTCTTGGATTAAGTATGACTGTGGAGTTCCCTTGTCATGTTAACAGGTATAGTGAGGAGTGAGGATTGATACTGAAGCTTTTTACTGAGATTAAAGGACTTGCAAATGAGTGTTGTTGGTTTAGCATATTCTACAGTATATATAATACATATCATTTAGAATGGGATCTCATACGTGTGAATGACATTTTTCATTTGTAATCCATTAAGCTTATATATCCTTTACGCCTGGTTAGGTTGATGGTTCCTTTATATGAGGTATATATTTAGAATGTATTTGAAGGTCTGAAATGGACTTCTTCTACCTCATGCTGTTAACTACAACAAGTGTTTCTCTAGTTCTTAAGCCCTTGTTTGACAACCATCCTTTCTCATACTCATTTTCAACCACACATTATTACAATACAATATTCTTCGTGTAATCCCAAAACTTTTCCTTAATTTTTAATCATACATTCTCCCAAAATTGACTATTTAAAAACTCATTCTTTCCCAAAAAAATATCTGTCAAACAGGGGCTAAATATGGTGACTCAAGGGTGCTTGACAAATAACAATTCCTGGAGAACAATAGAATTCAAATTTTGAGAGAACCCTGATGGCGTTTTATCAAATGATATATATCCAATTGATTTGACTGTGTACTGTGATTCCCAAATCGTGTAAAAAACAGAACCCTTTTTGTAGTATCAAATTATGTGATAATATAAGTGTTTATGCTCAAAGAAGCAGCCAATGCAAACAATGACAAATGGCAGTCTCTTTGATCAGTACTTTTGGAATTCACTGTGTCAGCAGAGCTGTAAGAGTATAATAGTTGGGCTATCATTCTGTTTATGCCTTGTTCCTTGTCAATAATTCTATGAAGTTAGTATCCATGCTCATCAAACAATTCATGTTCACATATACATGTCCTTTTTTTTTTTTTTTTTTTTTTTTTTTTTTTTTTTTT